ATATTTTTAATTTTTTTTTATTTTTCTTCTTATAAAATGTCCATTTGATAAGTTTTCATCAACAAAAATTATATGCAATGTGCTGCAAAAGTTTTTATTTTTTTTTATTTTTTTGTTCTTAAAAAATTGTTCATTTGATAAACACAATGTGTTGCAAAAGTTTCTTGTTTATTTTTTCTTAAATTAGTTTATTTTTTAAAATTTTGAGGGTGATACAAATACAAGGCTTTAAAATTGTTCATTTGATAAACACAATGTGTTGTAAAAGTTTCTTCTTTATTTTCTTAAATTATAAATACACGAAATCTCTTTTTTTTTTATTATTTTTTAAAAGTTTGAGGGTGATTCAAATTCTACGCTTTAAAAACTTGATGGTACACATATCGATATTTATATTTATTACATATATTTTTATATGAAATGAGCGTTTCAACTTAAATTACAAGCTCGTTAGAACATTTAAAATTGGGCCCTCCTGAGTAAAATTTCTAGATCCGTCACTAAGAGTATTATAAGTTGTATTTATGCATATACTATTAAAATTATAAGTTAGATAAATTATTAGCCATTTTTTAGCCAAAAATACTAAATTATTATAACAATTGCATATTCGATTTTATGAAATTTTACTGACGTTAAAACAAATTAATTTATTTAAAAAAAATCGCTTAATCCGATAAAAAATATAATATTAATTTTAGAATAAATAACTTGAACAAAAAGTTTTTACAATATAATTTTATGTTTATGTAACTTCCATATATTATATTGGGTAAAATATAATTATTATTTTAATGATAACAATTATATGATACAATAAAAAATATAATTATTTATCAATTAATATAAAATATAATATTTTTGTCTTAATTAACCTAAAAAAATTTCTAAGTAAATCTTTTATCATTAATGGGATAGGGTGTATTAATCTAATAATAATAACAACAACAACAACAATAACAACAACAACAACAACAACAACAACAACAACAATAATAAAAATAATAATAATAATAATAATAATAATAATAATAATAATAATAATAATAATAATAATAATAAAATCACAGTTATGCCATCGTTTTCATAATTCTGATGAGCGATTGTGAAATTATGGATGTTTTTATTTCTTGCGCTTTATTTTAAATTTAATCAGTTGAGTCAGAGATGTGGTGGCTTCTTTTTTTGATTCATGCGGTTGTATATTAAGAGACAACGACAGACTCTGGCGGCTGGGCATCCCTCCCCTCCTTCTTCTCAGTGGGGAGGTCAAGTTAGAGATGACGAATGCGAGGCCCGAAGCTCAGATTCGTGGAGATGTCGACAGTATATGTTGCGTGTATAGACAATATATTATCGGTATTTGTTTTCGTCGGCCCGTGCTTTATGTGTTTCTCATCTGACCCGTGTTTCATATGTTTTTATTTAATGATGGGCTCTTGATTCTTTGACTTTGTCAGAAGATTCTGGTTTTTATTTAGGATCGTCCTCTTGTGATCCTTGGCGGTTTTGAGTTTGCATTAGAGGTGTTTAATCGTTGTACATAATCTGATGCATCTGGTTTTCATCGAAATGTGTTTTACTATTTGTTTCCCACACACATCTGTTGTTATGAGTAGTGTTTGTCCCATTTTTGTTGTGTTTTTCGTTGTCTTTTTGCCATTCTTTTCCCCCCGTATTGAGTCGTTTAGGTGGTTTTAGGATCTTTTTGTCATTTATTATGTGTTTTACGTTCTTTTGAGTGTTGTGGTGTTTTCCGTTTGTTTTTCGGTCTTTTTCTGTTCTATTTTCGTTTTTGGTGTGTAGTTTGGAGACCCCGGGAGAACAGGTTTTCGAGAATTTTTTAGGGAGGCTGACACCATTAGAAAGAGGGGCTCATTAGCGATGCGTAGGAAAAAGCGGAATTGAATTCCGATACCAGATGAGCCCGAACGAGCCCAAACCGTGAAGTCATGCAAAGCTGCCGGGGGCCTTAGCGCCGCTAAGGCCTGTGTGGTTAGCGGGGTTTTGGCAGCTAAGCGGGACAGAGGAAACCAGCTAAGAAGGCTTAGCGCCGCTAACCCCTTAGCGGCGCTAAGGCCTGTTTTGTAACTGACGCGATTTTCGTGGATTTTTGAATGGGAAGCTTAATAGATCGAACCCAAGACCCTCAAACTGAGTTTTTCTTCATCTTTTTCACCGTAGACAAGAGGAGAGGAGGGTGCTCGATGGGGGAGGAACCCTAGCTCCGAAAATCGACTCCTCCCTCCGTTGTTCTTCCTCCTTCTTCTTCTCTTTTTCTCTTCTCTTCTCCTCTTCTCTTCATCTTTATTTTCCAATTTTCTTCTTCTTCTTCTTAGTTAGGGTTTAAGCTTGTACTTTGGATTCTACCCTTGGATTGATTGTAAGTATTTTTCATCTTCTTTAATTCATGGGAATGATTAATTGGGGTAAAATACTTGATTTTGTTGAATTCATGGTTCGTAGCTAAATCTGACTGCTAGGGATAGGGGATGATTGTTCTTGTTTGAATTGTTCTTGTCGGGCTTGGATTCGTTCATGCTTATGTGCGTTGTTTTGATGAGGGATTGATAGAATCTTGTTTGATTGGTTGATATAATCGAAGAGTGACACTTCGATCTTGCAATTAGAAATAATTGAATATTGATTAGTCGAGTTAGGGTTTTGTTGATTCTATGTGATTAGTCGATTAATACTCTTCTAGTTAAATTAGCGACTTTCAGAACCGAAAGGGGAGAAGTCATAGAAATAGGCTCACATGAGGTAGATGATTTCTTAATTGAATAGTCTATAAGTTTTCGGTTGAAATACGTGTGAGTCGATGACCCGTCCCTTGTTACGAAAAGTTATTGGGATTGGGATAGTTGGCCCGTATTGTATGCTCGAGCTTGTACGTCTATGTTCAATCCCTTGTTACGAAGAGTTATGGGAGTGAACCGCTAGATGTCTAAGCGAGAGTGTCAATCTCAAACCGAACAATTGATTGCCCGATTCTGCTAGAACTTGAATTAATTATCCCCGACTCCCTAGCTTCTTTTTCATTGTTTCGTTCGTATTTCTTAGGGAGATTATTATTTTTATGTTATTTCTTAGCTGATAATTATTCATCCCTCCTTATTCGATTAGAGTGTTTAGGTTTGTTTTCTTTTTTATGTGTTATCAATACCAAAACTAAGTTCCGAACAGCCTTCCTCGTGAGATCGACCCGGGGAACGAATCTTTCGATTCGGTACTCGGTCAAAAGAATAATTTGTACACAACAAATTTGGCGCCGTTGCCGGGGAAGGCAAGTAGGATATTTGGTTTTGTTATTGATTTTATTTTCCGTGTTTCTCTTATTTTCGTGATTTTTGTATTTTGTTCTCTCTTTTGTGCATATTTGTTTTTCTTTTTGTCTTGCTTGTTTCTGCTTTCTTTTTCTTTTCTTTTCTTTTCGTGGCTACGTGTGGTTGTTCTGCTTTGGTGTGCAGGTATCATGAGCTACAATCGTACTTTTTCCTATTCGCACACCCAACCTTGGGTTGACGAGTCGGGCTACTACACCGGGTACCACGTCCAGTCTTACCCCTACTCTTCCGAGCAGTACTAGGATCTCTTCCCGGTCGAGCAACATTACGAGTCCCACGAGTTCAACGAGAAGCTCGACCGTATCTATGAATTTGCAATCTC